AACATCTCTAAATATATCACCAGTGGAAGGGTCTGTACACTGTAAACAAAACAACAATCAATCATAAAAACCTATTAAAATGACGTATTAATTGTAAATCTTTCCTTGACGGGGTAAAGGCAGGTCACAGCGCAGTTCCCTTTTCCCCAGCTCCAGCCCGGAGGTCCACGCGCTCGCCGCTGTCACAGAATTGCAAATCAATCTTCGGTCGAGGCAGGGCATCCATATTCACAGGGACTTCAAAGCGGCACCAGGCGATTTGGCCACAGCATTTGAAGCTCTGCACGGGCACAGCGGAGGCCCCAGCCGCTGTGGGCCAAATCAAGGCAAAATATCCAAAATGCCCGACACCAGAAACGAAGGCTTTTGGGAGTTTCTTACTGATTTAACTTTTTAAATAATACAACTTTTGCAATGTTAATAGGGATGTAACAATATCCAAGTCTCACGGTTTGATATTTATTGCGTTATTTTGAAGATGAGACACTTTTTTGCTTTTAATAGACCTTGACAAGATTTTGGAGTGAATTATTTCCATCATAATCCCAAGAATTCAATTAAAAAACATATTTCTTCATGTTGTCTGCACTGAAATGAATCATGGGATATGTAGTTTCCCATGTTTATAAGCTGTTGCTACTATAAAACCATGCATTTAAGCAAAGGAACTTGTAATTCGATATATTGTGACAGTTCATGATTTTATTGTGAGACTTTTGACGATACAATATCATAATTTTTCAGTTATTGTTACATCCCTAAATGTTAAGGTTACTATTCAACAGAGGTGGGGACTTGCACTTGGACTTGAGTCAGACTTGAGTCACTGTTTTTAGGACTTGAGACTTGATAAAATGGAGTAAAACTTGGGATTCGTCTTGGACTTAAAGGTCAATGACTTGGGACTTGACTCGGACTTGAGGCCTGTGACTTGAGAAGCACTTTTTAAATCTGAATTTGTTCTATTCTGACTGCAACAATTCGCTCTAAGATGTGGTCAATACATTTTAAAAGGAAAAATTAACATTTCTACAACTCTTACATACTCTATAAATACTCATATGAAAATATATTATGGTTTTTTGAAAGTACATTTTATCTCAAGTTATAAAAATGGCAAAAATCAAAGCTATATTCGGTACTTTGGTTTAAAGACTTGAAATGACTTGAAGCTCAAAGCAGACGACTTGGACTTGACTTGGACTTATGGGCCAGTGACTCAAGACTCGACTTGGACTTGCTTGTATTTGACTTGGGATTTGACTTGGACTTGAGGTCAGAGACTTGAGACTTACTTGAGACTAAAACAACGACTTGGTCCCACCTCTGCAATTCAATTCATCTTTATTCTGGGCTCATGGTCCATTTTTAAAACAAGGACAGTGAAATTACAAAACAATAAAGAACTGCTTTTAAAAGACGACCATACCAGTGTCTTCACATATTGGACGATATAGTTTTGCACTGAATCTTATATTTGTGAATGACATTATTATTTCCTTGTCCAATTTGTTCAGTTTGCAAATAAAACTGTACATTAAAGTTCTTAGTGCAGCTTGGAGACTGTTCACTTGTGCAGTAACAGTAACTCATCCATCGTGGCCTCCTCACAAGCACACATTTACATTTTAAAGGGGATGTATTATAAAAAGTTTAGTTCTAATATAGTTCTAAGGTTGCCAGGCTGGGGCCACCTAGTGCCTCCGCTTAATTTAATTTCTCTCCAGCGACTAGGTCAGAAATCAGAATACACTAGACGGTTTGCAAGAACCCCGGATGTTCGGGCACCAGCCAATCAGCAAAGAGCCATATATTCTGTGTTGTCAATGATTCCTTCAAAGAGAGTGTTTGGTGAATTTTATCAAGGAAAAAGACGTTATTGTCCTTCTTCCTACGGGATTTGTTAGCGGTGCATTACATACGCCATGACCAAATAGCAGTGACTGGTTAAAAAAAAAAAAAAAAAGTGCCTGCCTACCCTCGGTTGAATGAATTCTAATGCTACAAGGGCAGACGGTTTCTACGAAGGGAAACCGGCTGATGACTAATGAATCAGGCTAGTTCTAAGGTGCTATATTACACAAAATTGACTCTTGTGAGCTTTAAGCCATGTTATAATGCTACTTCCTCATCGAAAACATAGCCAGAGTTTTGTTTAGTTTCATTTACACATGTTTAAGTAATCCTTTATTATTAATCTGTCTACATTCCAATCCAAAGATTGAAATTCTCTGTTCCACCTTGTGATGTCATGAAGTGGTAGTTTTGAAGTTAACTGCTGCCTTTAAGGTTTTAGAGTTTGGCAAATCCAGGTCTGAAAATATCCAAATGATTCTAGTGAAGGTGTATGCAGTTTAAAAACACAATGGAGCCTGTGTTGACACGTGACATCACAAGGTGGAACGGTGTTTTATGCCTGAGAACAGAACTCCTAAATGAACACTGGATATTTTATGGAAATCAGCCTACTTTGTATCATATTTTAACTACGAAACTTCTCAAACTCTGCATTGAAATGAACGGGAATCCTGCTTAAGTTACATAAAATACTCATTCAAATGTGTTAAAAAAATAATAATAATAAAATAAAATAAATCTTAACATGTCTCCTCTGAACAGAAATGGGATTAATTTATTAAATTATAAAGTATGGATGTAGCATATCAAAGATTTTTACCAATATTGTACCTAAAAAAAAAAAAAAAAAAGATATTTCGTTTAATAGAAATAAAAATTCTGTTTCAGTTTTAAACACAGCTAATATTTCTCCACATTTGATAAATAATGTGGAAATAAAGTTGTCGTAAACTTTTTGACAAACTAGGCTCCGTTTTGACTCTGGGCGCATTAATATTGTAAAAGTATCCTGTCACAACATGTGCTCTGTGAAATATTCTTCTCAAAGATAAACTGCTCCGGTGTTCACCACATTTGTATGAGGGACTATAGTTCACAAACTTTTCAAATCAATTTCCACCTCACACGGAGGAAAAACGAGCTCAGTTGTCCCTGTAATGTTGAGACTAAACCAGGTCTAAAAGAAGACTTGACACAGTTGGATACAGGACTATGTCAGGTCTAAACCGGGTCTAAACTGGGGTCTTGACTGTGATCTAGAACTGGGATTTAACCACGGACTTATTACAAAAAGTTCTTGATTCAAAGTCGGTTCAAACCAGAGCCAGGGAACTGACAAGACGCGTGCACAAGACGTGTGGATAAAACTATGGGTTTTGCGAGACTATGGATGGGAATAGAATTAGACTATGGGGGGACTAGATTATGGGGCCGTTAGACCCCATAATGTGCAGGGGACAAAACTACGGTGGGGAACAAGACAATGACGTGACTAGGGCAGGACTAGACTATGGTGGAACAGGATTGGACTATGGCGTGAGGCGACTATGGTGAGGACTAGACTATGGTGGGGCTGGACTATGGTGGGTGATGGGACTATGGCAGGGACTAGACTATGGCAGGGGTGGGACTACGGTGGGGACGGGACTATGGCAAGGACTAGACTTTTTGGGGACTAAATCAGACAAAAAATATAAGCAAACTAGACTAGACTACTAGACGAGACTATGATGGGACAGGACTATGGTATTATGGAACTATGGCGGGGACGGGACTATGGCGGGGATGGGACTGTGGGATGGGACACTCTGGCAGGACGGAACGAGACTATGGCAGGAATAGACTATTTGGGGACTAAATCAGACAAAAAATACAAACAAAACTAGACTAGACTACTAGACGAGACTACAGTATGATGGGACGGGACTATGATGGGATGGGACTATGGTGGGTAGGTGACTATGATGGGACGTGACTATGGTGGGGGGGACTATGGTGGGACGGGACTATGATGGGACGGGACTATGGTGAGGGATAGGTCTATGATGGGACGTGACTATGGTGGGGGGGGACTATGGTGGGACGGGACTATGATGGGATGGGACTATGGTGGGGGTAGGTCTATGATGGGACGTGACTATGGTGGGGGACTATGGTGGGACGGGACTATGATGGGACGGGACTATGGTGGGGGTAGGTCTATGATGGGACGGGACTATGATGGGGGGGACTATGATGGGACGGGACTATGATGGGACGGGACTATGGTGGGACGGGACTATGGTGGGACGGGACTATGATGGGACGGGACTATGATGGGGGACTATGATGGGACGGGACTATGATGGGACGGGACTATGATGGGACGGACTATGATGGGACGGGACTATGATGGGGGGGGACTATGATATGATGGGACGGGACTATGATGGGACGGGACTATGATGGGACGTGACTATGGTGGGGGACGGGGGATGGGACTATGATGGGACGGGACTATGGTGGGGGGGGACTATGATGGGACGGGACTATGATGGGGGGGGACTATGATGGGATGGGACTATGATGGGACGGGATTATGATGGGACGGGACTATGGTGGGGGTGGGACTGGATTACGGCAGGACAAGACTCTGGTGGGAATAGACTCTAGCGGGGGACGGGACTGTGGTGGGGCGAGACTATTGCGGGATGAGACTCTGGCTGGACGGGACGAGACTATGGTGTTATGAGACTAGACTATTTGGGGACTAAATCAGACAAAAAAATATAAAAACTAGAATACTGGACTAGACTATGGTGGGATGGGACTATGGCAGGACGAGAGTGTGGCAGGGGACTAGACTATGGCAAAGATAGACTATAGTGGTCCTGGACTACAGGAGGATGAGACTATGGCGGGGACTAAATCAGACAAAAAATAGAAACAAAATGGTGGATCTCTGTGCTACAAAACGTCTAAAGCCGTGTTCACACTCGTCATGGTTTTGTTCTGGTTTGAGCCCAGTCTAGTCCAGCATTTAGACATGATTTGGTCTTAGTCTAGTCCTGATCTAGTCCCAGTTTTGAAGTGCAACTCAAACCTTTTACATTCCGCCTCACTAACTTCCTCTCCCCCCTTCCACCTGACCCCTCCCCCTTTAGTGAAGCCCAGTAAGGAGTACAGCCGCGGGTCGGTGGTGATGGTGGACGAGATCATCAACGCCAGCCCGTCCAAGTTCCGCTTCCCCGAGGCCGGCCTGCGGGTCATGGTCACCAGCCACTTCGGACCCAAGACCCGACTCAGGATGGCCAGTCGCCTCATCATCACAGAGGTACAGCCTGGAGGCCAAGAGGACGGGACTAGACTGTGTTTAAATTTAACGGACTATGAGAAAATAAATAATTGTCTATTAACTACGCTTTTCTTAGTCTTAAAGTCTTACATACTGTTACTACTACTACTACTACTACTACTACTACTACTACTACTACTACTACTACTACTACTACTACTACTACTACTACTACTACTACTACTACTACTACTACTGCTACTACTACTACTACTGCTACTACTACTACTACTACTAGCTACTACTACTACTACTGCTACTACTGACTACTACTACTACTACTACTACTACTACTACTACTACTACTGCTACTACTACTGCTACTACTACTACTACTACTACTACTACTACTTGCTACTACTACTACTACTACTACTACTACTACTACTACTACTACTACTACTACTACTACTACTACTACTACTACTACTACTACTACTACTACTACTACTACTACTACTACTACTACTACTACTACTACTACTACTACTACTACTACTACTACTACTACTACTACTACTACTACTACTACTACTACTACTACTACTACTACTACTACTACTACTACTACTACTACTACTACTACTACTACTACTACTACTACTACTACTACTACTACTACTACTACTACTACTACTACTACTACTACTACTACTACTACTACTACTACTACTACTACTACTACTACTACTACTACTACTACTACTACTACTACTACTACTACTACTACTACTACTACTACTACTACTACTACTACTACTACTACTACTACTACTACTACTACTACTACTACTACTACTACTACTACTACTACTACTACTACTACTACTACTATTACTACTATTACTACTACTACTACTACTGCTACTACTACTACTACTACTACTACTACTACTACTACTACTACTACTACTACTACTACTACTACTACTACTACTACTACTACTACTACTACTACTACTACTACTACTACTACTACTACTACTACTACTGCAACAACTCACCTCGGTAGTAATCCTAATCTGAGTTGACTAGCATGCTAACGGTGCATGTGAGCAGTAGTATTGGACCTGTCCTTTGTGTGTACTTCTTGACTCAGTGTGTGTGTTTGTGAAAGCGCCAGAAGTTGGTGCAGACGGCGAACGGCGTGGAGACACAAGTGGTGGACGGGAAGGTGGACCTGGAGAACGGGACGGTCCCCGAGGACAAGAAGCCCGAGTCTGAGGAAAGCGACACCATCTCCCCCTTCCACATACCCAGTACGCTACTCCAGTACTTCAAATACTTTATACATTTATACACATACCCAGTACGCTACTCCAGTACTTCAAATACACTTCATACATTTATACACATACCCAGTACGCTACTCCAGTACTTCACACACTTCATACATTTATACACATACCCAGTACGCTACTCCAGTACTTCAAACACTTCATACATTTATACACATACCCAGTACGCTACTCCAGTACTTCAAACACTTCATACATTTATACACATACCCAGTACGCTACTCCAGTACTTCAAACACTTCATACATTTATACACATACCCAGTACGCTACTCCAGTACTTCAAACACTTCATACATTTATACACATACCCAGTACGCTACTCCAGTACTTCAAACACTTCATACATTTATACACATACCCAGTACGCTACTCCAGTACTTCACACACTTAATACATTTATACACATACCCAGTACGCTACTCCAGTACTTCAAACACTTCATACATTTATACACATACCCAGTACGCTACTCCAGTACTTCAAACACTTCATACATTTATACACATACCCAGTACGCTACTCCAGTACTTCACACACTTCATACATTTATACACATACCCAGTACGCTACTCCAGTACTTCAAACACTTCATACATTTATACACATACCCAGTACGCTACTCCAGTACTTCAAATACTTTATACATTTATACAAATACCCAGTACGCTACTCAAATACTTGACATATTTATTTTTCAGACTAATAGTCGCTCCGGTGTATAAGTCGCAACAGCCAAAAATGCATAATGAAAAAGAGAAAAACATATACAAGTTGCACTTTTTGGGGAAAGTTTTTTATATAAAATCAGAGGCCAGGAACCGACATTTCATCTTGAAAGTCAAGTTCTAGTAATAACAATAGAAGAGAGAACAACAGACTGTTAACGTCACATATGAACAGTTCTTCAGATAAACTATAACATAAACAACAGAACAGAACAAGTTTACCAAACTCTCCATCTCACTCCAAATCACTAAATCCATTCAATTCTTCATCCTCGGTGTCACTTCTGAGCAACTCCTGTGACCTCTGGAGGTAAACAGAGCGCCGCTTCCTCTTTTGTGTAGCTGTCGTCAAACTCGGCATCAGTTCCAGTTAGAATTATTACGGCCTTTCTGAATCCTGACAGGATGGTCCTGAAGTCCAGGATTTGTCGATCCATCCGGTGACTTCCAGGAAAGTTGCGTGGCGCATCCTCCCGGTTACAGTAAAGCTGTGCTCTTCCGCCAGTTCCTCACAAGTTTCCCGCTCACTCCAATCTTTCTTTCTGCTGCTCAATTACCGTTTTCGGCTGCATATTTCGCTACTTGCAGCAGCTCTTTCTGCAGGAGACATGCGCAGTAGAGTGAAGTGACAGTGGTACAGGAGTAATAGGAGCAGCAGATACTGACACACAAGACTAGAGCCTCTCACGGCTTCAGTGTGAACATTTTAATATATAAGTTGCACCGGAGTATAAGTCACAGGACCATCAAACCATGAAAAAAAGTGCGACTTATAATCCTGAAAAATACGGTAACCTACAGACATGACATAACAAAAGAAAAACATGTAGAACTGGACAATATATGATCACAGCCTCCAAACATCTGCACAGCCAGTCCATGTAGTTAATACAGTTAATGGACTGAGGTAGGAACTAGATTTTTTACCTGTTATTTTTGCATAAAGGAACTCAGTATGTGCTGCTGCAGTATGAGAGGAGATACCGAGTGTTGAGAGCTCTGATGATCTTCAGAACCTGTCTCACTACTGACGAAGATGGTCTCTGGGGCAGGCAGAGTAGACACCCTCATGATGTTCTCTGATGTTACAGCAACTTTCACCAGTCCAAGGATGTGACATTTACATTTGACAGTCAGGCTTCTGCTCTATTCTTGGGGTCGGAAAGTCTCATTACTACAGCACAGTGAACATTAAAGGGCCCATATGACACTGTTTTTTATCTAAATTATAATATTGTTTCCTCATCACAAACGTACCTCGAGTTGTGGTATGTTTTTGATGAGGTAACGACGTTATAACATGGCCGAACGCTCACAAGAGTCAATTTTACGTAATATAGGACCTTTTAATCTGGTAGAGTAAGTCAATCGGTGATAAAAAGTGACCATATTCGTCTGTGTTCTTTCCATAGGAGGTTGTGGCAGTAAAATCAAATGGCTGATCTCCTGGCCCCTGCTCCTGCTGCTGTTCTTCACCGTGCCCAACTGTGCTAAACCGCGCTGGGAGAAGTTCTTCATGCTCTCCTTCATCCTGTCCACGCTCTGGATCGCCATCTTCTCCTACGTCATGGTCTGGATGGTAAGTCGTGGAAGAAGTACTCCATTTTGCTAAGTAATAGTACAGATACAGAGTGCAAAAAATAAAGTATCACCTTAAAAAAAAAAACTTCTTAAAGGTGCATTATGTAACTTTTTTGGTGTAGGGTCTGTCAAAAGCTGTTCTTCATAGAGATGTTATTGCTTTGTCTGGAATGTTTCTCAGTATGACATTAAACCTTTCTATCGTCATGGAGATCAAACCAGAGCAAGTTACAGGTCAGATCTGTGGAAAGGCGACTCCGTTCAGTTTTTCTGGGTATTTTTGAGCTATAAAACCACCTGTAATTTAACAAATGCAAGGTGAAGCTGTTTAAGTAAAAGTATTAAAGTACCTGTTATGAAGTAGCACTTAGGGTATAAAGTAAAGTATTTCACAGACTGTTTTTATTTTTATTTGCTCAAACCTACAAATGTGTCAAAAATAATCCCTCAGCCTTTTCAGTAGCTCTCACACAATCATAAAAAAAACACTTTTACTTTTCAATCCTGTTCAAAAATGTGGTAGAAAATAGACACCTGCTCTCAAATGTAGTAAAGTAAAAGTAAAAAGTCTGCACTTTAAAATGAACTACACTTTAAAAAGTAATGTACAGATAAAACTTTGACTTCGTTACACCATTGTAAGCACAGTTCTCTCTAGTCAGTGGACAATGGGAGAGTTGGATAAGAAATAAAATAAGTCAACTAGGGCTGTCGCGGTTAGGGAATTTTTCCTGTGGTGCGGTTTAGCGGCTCCACAGTGCGATATGCAGTGATATTGCACCCCCCTCCCCGACCCCGCATCCCCCGGAGTTATAATATTTCCAGCGCCTCTGAAAACTCTCCGTTGTGTAGGTGCACATGTACCTTGGTTGTCATGTGGATATAGCGTGTGAAGCGTGGGAGAAGTAGCATTTGGCTTTGGAACAAGTGCCGCCGCATCTCTCCAGCGCACACTGTGGCAGCTCGGGTCAGAGTCCTGCACCAGGTCGGGTACTCGCGGACTTAAGAGAGTGAGAACCCTGAGCATGCGAAGCAGGTGCCTGCAAAGCGCTATCAAGTGACGGCCGCACTTACCTCTGTGTGGCGTGGAGCTCTATAAGGTCCTTTCACCTGTGGTCACCCAACGGTCTTTGCAGGCGCACCTTAGTCCTGAGTTAGTCCTGAGTTAGTCCTGAGTTAGTCTGAGTTAGTTCTGAGTTAGTTCTGAGTTAGTCCTGAGTTAGTCCTGAGTTAGTCCTGAGTTAGTCCTGAGTTAGTCCTGAGTTAGTTCTGAGTTAGTCCTGAGTTAGTCCTGAGTTAGTTCTGAGTTAGTTCTGAGTTAGTCCTGAGTTAGTCCTGAGTTAGTCCTGAGTTAGTCTGAGTTAGTCCTGAGTTAGTCCTGAGTTAGTTGTCCTGAGTTAGTCCTGAGTTAGTCCTGAGTTCTGAGTTGTCCTGAGTTAGTCCTGAGTTAGTCCTGAGTCCTGAGTTTGTCTGAGTCTGAGTTTGTCCTGAGTTTGTCCTGAGTTTGTCCTGAGTTTGTCCTGAGTTTGTCTGAGTTAGTCTGAGTTAGTCTGAGAGTCCTGAGTTAGTCCTGAGTTAGTTCTGAGTTAGTCCTGAGTTAGTCCTGAGTTAGTCCTGAGTTAGTCCTGAGTTAGTCCTGAGTTAGTCCCGAGTTAGTCCTGAGTTAGTCCCGAGTTAGTCCTGAGTTAGTCCTGAGTTAGTCCTGAGTTAGTCCTGAGTTAGTCCTGAGTTAGTCCTGAGTTAGTCCTGGTTATCACGGGCGGTAACGGGTGGAATGTTAACGGGTTCAGGCGGGTGCGGGTCTCTAAAAATGGACCCGTGCAGGACTCTGGGTCGGGCCACGTGCGGTGATCGTGGTGGCCCAACATGCACCACAGCGGGTCTCTTAGTGATTAATTTTTGCGGTTATTGCGACAGCCCTAAGGTCAACGCTTAGTTTAAGGACCACACCATAATGACTAAATAATAGTAAAACTGTCTCATTAATAAGAGTTTGTATACGACTATATTTTACAAGTATTGTGTTAATACTCTAAAGGGCCTGTACCTGAAGCAGTCAAGCAGTAGTTTTCAAGTTAACAGAAGAACTCAGCCTAAATATGCAGGATCTGTGAGTTAAACATGTGTGAATGAAACAAAACACAACTCCAAGTCTGTTTGTAATGAGGAAACTAGAGACAGATCAGAAAATACTGTAATATGGGCCCTTTAACTAGAATATAACTTGTTCATTTAGTTAAAATATATTCAGATCTACTCAAAATTCAAGTTAAACACAAGATCTCATGTGTTTTTGTCACTCAACATTCATTGTTGCGTAATGTATTAAAGTCAAATGGCAATCACATTCTCAAGTTAATTAAACCAAATAGTCACTGTGTTATAAACAGTGTAAACTCTTGACTTAAATCCCAGGCAGATTAAAAGCTTTACTTCAGTCATTATAAAGTTTAGAGGGGTGTTGTGCATAGTGAGTGATTTTGTTCGAAACTTTTCCTGAAAACTGAAAAAGTCGTTTCAATGCACACGCTTACAAACTCACAAAAACACACCCTGACTTCTAATTAGCGGTGTGCAAAAATATTGAAATATCGATATATTGTATCGTGTAATGTGATGATACGGTATCGTTATCGTGGGCTGCTGTATCGATATATCGCCAAGAGTATTTTTGGTATATTTTAATAAATTATTTTGTTACAGAGCTACAGTTTTGTTGCTTGTTCAGAGGAAGGAAATACATTTATGCAACACATGATATTTTCACTGTTTTGCCGATTAAAATGTTTGTGTTTCATATGAACTTTGGACAAGAAGTGGTTAAACAAAGACTTTTGGTATGACAACCATGATTTAAAATCTATCGTATTGAATCGCAAGCTCACTATATCGAGGTATGTATTGTATCGGGAAATTCTGAATGAACCCAGCCCTCTGAATATTATTTAGCAGTTGTCGAACATGCTTGTGTGTACTCCAAAAAATTATATTACTGTATATACGCTCTGGATTATAAGGTGCACTGTCATTTATTTTCACAAATAAACCGCACCGAACTTTAAACGAAACACAACAGTTGGATGGGTCAGTGGGACTTTGTTTGTTTGTGGCGTTCACGGTGACTCTGGGCTTTGTTCAGTTGTGGCGTGTAGGGAGGGTGCTGTCTGGGACACGGCGTGTTCGCAGCGACTCAGTCGTGTCTAGAAGTGGCACGTTGCACTCGCTTTTTCGGTTCGTTCCTCCGTTCCGTTCCTCGTCGGCGTGGAGTGATGAGTGTGGCTGTGGGTGTTTTTCGCTGTGCGGTCGCTGTCTGCTCCGTGTGTGTTTGCGTGTTCTGCGGGTGGTGCGGCTTTGTAGTTTACTGAAGTCGTGCTGGGACACCCGAGTGGATTCGTTTATAGGGCGCTCTGGATTGTGGGGCGCGCAGTCGTTTTTTGATGGGGTTGGAGGCTTACGCGCCCTATAACCCGGAAAATACGGTACACTTTACATTAGTTCATTAAAGGTCCTATATTACGTAAAATTGACTTTTGTTTCATTAACACGTTTGAGTCCTTTATTATTAGTCTGTCTGCATCTCCAGAGCTCAAAATGCTCTGTTCCACCTTGTGATGTCATGAAGCAGTATTCATATTATTTAGTATTTCAAGTTAACACCTATCATTTATCTTTTGTTTAGTAGAAATTGGCAATTCCAGGGCTGAAGGCTGTATTTTGTTTGAGAACTCTGAGTAAATATGCAGGGTTTGTGTATTAAACATGTGACTGAAACGTAACTGAAGTCCAGGTATGTTTGTGATAACGAAACATTATAACATAGATCTGAAAATAGCGTAATACGGGCTCTTTAAGCTGCATAAACCACTGCCTCCCACTGCAGTGAACAAGAGTGAGTGCGGCTGCTTTGACTCTGTTGGACACATAAGGTTGTTGCGTCCCCGTGGGCAAGGACACAAGAATCTGACAAGCTTCCAATTACTGCCCCTACTGTTTTCTACTTAAGAAATGCCGATATAAACACTGCAGTACTGGAGCGTTATTAGAGTTGGATATTTGACAATGCAGAAAATGTTGTTTTAAAGGACAGATGTTAGAACGGTCAGCTTTATCCATGGACTATTCTGCAACCCTTCCACCTGTACTATTGGTTTTGCAGGTCGCTGGGATTTGGCAAAGAGGCAAAAATAGCGATCCATCAGGCTTGTTTCTTTTATTAAGTTGTTTTAGCTGAATATTGTGGTTTAAAATGTGCAAATTTTAAAATAGGTGCCATAGATTACAACTATATATCAGACGCAAGCACATATAATAAGTATTTCTTTTTAAAAATGTCTTTATAAACTTTAAAATATTGAAGCATGATTGGATGCATCGTTGACAATCTAGAAAATGTTGTTTTGAAGGACACAGGTAAACAGTGTGTGTGTGAATGGGTTGTTGGTGCAATTCCAGCTCCTACAGATGAATACTGTTGTTGTGTCTTGTTCTGTCTTGTTGTGTTGTTGAACAGGTGAGTGGTTTCTAGAGTGTGGATTGGGCCACATTTTTCTGTCCGAGCCCGGAGCACTGTTGAATCCGACCGGAGTCCGATAAGCACTAAGATATTTGTGTCCAAATGTGACCGAATCACAGTATTTTCATAGGCCGACCAATGACACATGTAGGATATTGTTTGTGTGGCTTCTAACGGACACACAGACGCAAAATATCTAAAAAAAAAAAAACTCGGGATATAGCGAAAATAATGGTAAGACTTTATTACTCACCTCTCGTAAAGTGGTAAATTTAAAGTGCAGCATCTCATCCACGTTATCCATTTGAAATTGTCCTCTGCAAATAATGACCTCCAGTTCCCAAAACAACGCTATTAATCCAGTTTGAGGCAAGAGTAAAAAAAAAAGCGAGAGTAGTTCCTCACTTGTGTCTGTTTACATCCGTGAAGCTGCAGATTAGCGACAGTGACTCTTCTTCTTTTAGGTTACATTTACACTGAAACAATGTATGACCGTATCGTAAATGATTTGCATCCAGACATGTCGTTTCTGTGTCCGCAAGTCTTCCCTGTCCACACAGCTTTGCACATATTTGTTTACGTTTTACAGAAACCAAACTTAAAACCACATGGCTAAACTAAGAGCTCAAAAAACAGCTCGCTCCTTGTGCCCTGATGCAGTTCAGCTTCGGTCGGACTTTAAAAGGACACGACTCAGTGGAATATGAGTGTTCTTTCTGTGACAGGGGGGTGTTCTGCTGATGGTGAGTCTGTTCTGTGCAAGTAGTTCTAGCTCCACTGTTTGTTTAAACTGTTTGCCGCAATCGCGTCACATGACCAACGTCACGAACCCAACGAATCAGGAAGGTGCAAGTCACAGTGACGTGGTCCAATAAAGATGCAACTGGAGCTTCTACATCAGCGTATCAACGTTTTCAGGCGTCTACACTGCGCCAGATCAGATCCATGAATTTTTGGGAGCTGGCGGCACCAGATCGTTCCGTCTCTGGAGCTGTTTTCCGTCAGATTAGTGTGGACGAACACTGCATCCACAATTAAAACAACTCGAATATGTACTATTGGATGGGGCCTTATGCTTTAAAAATCACGTATCTGAAGTATTGCACCACATTTCACAAATAATAACACAGTTTTGACTTGCATCTAAACTAGAAATGCAGTACTTTGATCTTTTGAACACTTAAGAGTCTCAAAGCGAGTGGTTTTACTGTAGACAGGAAACAGCTGACGAACATAAGTTTTAAATATTTGTCTTAACAAATACACAAGCGGGTGACGGACCTTTAAACAAAAAGTTACATAGTGCACCTCTGATTTTATAGTCTAGACTGTTTATACGTTTAGAGCCATGTTTTGTTTTTGTTTTTTTGCTGTTCAGTTCAGATGGATTGCAAAAATATGCTGCTACGAAGAGAATTACATTTTCGCCGTTTCAATGTCGTCCCCCCACTCTCCCTCTCCACATCTCCTTGTTTTTGTTTAGGTGACTATTATCGGCTACACACTGGGAATCCCGGACGTCATCATGGGCATCACGTTCCTGGCGGCGGGCACCAGCGTTCCAGACTGCATCGCCAGCCTCATCGTGGCGCGTCAAGGTTCGGCTTTCTACCAAAATCAATAGCGGGCTGCGGAGAGCTGTGGAGTTGTGTTCACGCGGTATTTTTGGAGCAGGTTTTTAGTTTGGACTCAACGGTAACCCCATCTGTGTGCTTGGATACAGATCAATACAGTTACTTACCCTGGCAGGTTTTTCCACTAATGCAACAGAAATGTATCCAAGATTGTTTTTTTTTTCTACTCTGTTGGTTGTTTTCAGATGGTACAATGTGCTGATGTCTCTCTCAGATTTGGCAGGAGACAGTGTTTTGTGTCAGTAAAATTTTAATGAGAAATATCCAAGAGAAAAATCCACAAACGTCGAACTAACTGGCTCCATTACTAAACCACATCTGAATAATGATTTTACCTTTGCTGCCCTCAGATTATTTGAACATCGGACTGTAGAAATATTTTGAAACGCCACACCAGAACTATTTGTCTCGTTTCTGGGTAATTAAAACAATGGGGTAAGATTAGATTGTCATTCATTGTTCTTAGTGAGACCAGTGTAAACAGCTCAAGTCTAGAATGACAAATTGACAGATTTTTATTGTGAGGAAATGTACACAGTAGATTAAGGGCAAAATGTTTCAAGTATTCACTGATCTAATGCAGCCTGGACACGGTCTCTGTATTTTAAAGATTGATTTAGCTCTTTCTTACAAATCTATAAATATGACAGAAACTTTATTTACTTTGTCAGTCTACTGCAGGGGTGTCGAACTCAAATTCGCCAAGATTAAAAACTGGGACTAAGTCATGGGCCAAACTAAATATTTATTGAAAAATGTGCATGTTTTCTCTTCTTTCGAGATACGTAATGTTAAACCTTTTATTAAAATAAATGTTTGATAATAGTTTTGCTTAAACATTGAATCCAGAACAAGTAAAATATAAAAGAACAACATTTTAAATAAATAATGTCCCTATAGTCAGCTCTATTACATGTTTGATATGATCTCGCGGGCCAAATTTTGTCCTCAGGCCTGGGTTTACATGTCTGGTCTACTGGAAAAAAACAATATATTTCTGTATCCTTTCTCCAGTGTATTATTATATCACAAACAAGAGCTTAAGTCCATTCCCCTCTCCCTCCTCCCTCTCTCTCCTTTTCTTTTCCCTCAGGTCTGGGGGACATGGCGGTCTCCAACACCATCGGCAGTAACGTGTTTGACATCCTGGTGGGTCTGGGGGTGCCCTGGTTTCTGCAGACGGTCTGCATCAGTTATGGCTCAGAGGTACGTGCCCTCAGACCCTGGTTCACTGGTTCATTACAGGTGACGTCTGTGGAGGCTAACAGGACTGTGTCCCTCTCTCTAGGTCATGATCAACAGCCGTGGGCTGGTTTACTCTGTGGTGCTGCTGCTGGGTTCTGTGGCTCTGACAGTGAGTAATGTTCAACTTCTGTCCCTGTAACAGAGGCTCTGGGCTGGGTGCACTTGTGTCTTCAGTTATGCTAATGTGTTTAGCTCTGTAATATCAATCTGGAATAACACCATGACATTTATTTTAGTGAAATTTTCTCTTCGGCACCAAAAAATAATGTGTGAACCAGAGGTGGGGACTTGAGAGTCGTGACTTGGACTGGAGTCAGACTTGAGTCACTATTTTTAGGACTTGAGACTTGACTTGATAATATAGATTAAGACTTGGGACTCGACGTGGACTTGAAGGTCAATGACTTGGGACTTGACTCAGACTTGAGGCCTGTGACTTGAGACTTGATTCTTCTGCTAAAAAATATATATATATATATGTTTTTAGAAAATACTTCTCTTTACAGTTGATAAATGCAGTACTTAACAAACTGGAACGTGTCCCTCCCACTTCTGTTTGTTACTTTGTGTGTAACACAAAAAGTCATAAACTTTAAAAAGTAAAAGTCATAAACTGCAAAAAATGTAACCTATATTTGGTACTTTCCTGTCTTTGACTTGGGACTTGACTCAGACTTGAGATGAAAGATTTGAGACTTTACTCTCAAAACAACGACTTGGTCCCACCTCTGGTCTGAACTCAAACAGCTGTGTACCAGATGGATTCTCTCAGCAATCCAGGTTGCAGCCAAAGGTTATTAGTGTTAAACGTGCACAATACATGCATCCTGAATTTCGGACTTCCGGTCATTGCGCAATGCATACTGAGAAGGATCCTCAGAAAAAGTGAGCACCAAACCACCATGTTTGTTTTCCCAGTGGGATGCATCTATTGTCAAAGTTGATCTTTTCTAGTCTTTTGAACCATATCGCTTTTGTTTCTGGTTCTGATATTGTCATATTTTGGTTATGGGATTCAGACATCATAATTGTGTAGTTGTTGGATGTCCTAAATGGACTTCTGAAGTTTGCAAACTCCACAATTGCAAATGAGAATCAGATGTGTGACTGTAAACCTCCGTTCAAACTGTTTCTCTTCCCAACGAAATTGAAAAATAGTGAAAGACGAAGGCGATGGGCAGGATTGATCCACAGGAAGGACCAAAAAGGAAACCTTTGGTTGCCTAAGAAATCATTCCGAGTTTGTGGCGAACATTTTGTATGTAGAGCGCCAAGATCAGCTTTGACAACAGACGCATCTCACTGGGAAATCAAACATGGCGGTTTGAGTCCGAAATTCTGGATTAGTGTATTGATGTTGAAGTTGTTACTCATGAATTCCGAACTACTTGCCTTATAATAAGCCAATAGAAATGTTTTAAAATGTAAACTCTGAACACAATCCTATTATTAAAAAAAAAGAAATCTCAAATCTTATCACAGCTGCAATGCTTGACAGAACTTTTACGCTTTGCTGTAATTGTGCCGTCTTTTCCGCAGGTTTTGGGGATCCACCTGAACAAATGGCGTCTGGACTTCAAACTGGGCGTGTACGTGCTCATCCTGTACGCCATCTTCCTCTGCTTCTCCATCCTCATCGAGTTCAACGTCTTCACCTTCGTCAACTTGCCCATGTGCACGGAGGCCTGACCGCGAGCCCCGCCCACCCCACGCCAATGGCAGATTTCTTAGTTCAGTAATAACGGACCTATCAGCGAACTGATTCCTTCCTTCCTTCTTCCTTCCTTCTGCACTTTTTTGTGATCTAAAATTCCAAAATTTTGTTCCAGAATTTTCTGTTTACTCATTCCAATTTCAGGTTTTTCCACAACGATGTTAATTCCGTTGTTTTTGGCTGCTAACTTCCACCCGGCTAGCATGCCTTTAGATATCGGGGACTTCGGAATCGGAATTTCGCAAGCGCCCCCGTCGCTATTCGACGTTGTAATTATTTTTCCATGTTTATCCCAAAGCCAGATCTTGAACCAAAACTTTCACCGTCCTTTTCAACCAAAACATCCCGCCAACTCCCGAGTATTCCTACGTGAAATGCCAAAACCCTTCGTCTGTCAACATTCGTGCCGTGCTGTCGAAAGAGGGCGGGGCCTTGTCCCGCGAAGTGGGCGTGTCCTCGAGAGGGCGTGACTCTGGAAGCTCCTCCCCCTTCCGTTTTTTGGACCTGTCTCTGCATGGCCTCTTTCTGTCTCCGCTTTACGATACCCACTCTCTGAATTTCCGTTTTTTTTTTTTTTCTTCCCCATCTTGTACCGCAATGTCAACGTTCCTACTGACTGTAATGGTGTTATGCATATGCAGCACTGCACAATGTAAACTTGTATTTATGTTAATTATTTTGTATTTATTGTTTTTCAAGATCAAGATTTTGTGTCTGAATTTACCGAGGAGAGTTGCAAATAATATAGGACATTGCCTGTTTTTTTTTCACTGATACAAATTGCACATAACTGCTTTTCTCGCTTCGTGCTGTAAGGAGATTTGACCACTAGGTGGAGCTGGCACTGGACGCTCCACTACATTGTATTTTCACACAGCCGTGATGGTTACTCAACTTGAGCCCTACTACTACTACTACTACTACAACTACGACTACTACTTCTACTACTACTACTACTACTCCTCCGCACAACTTCAACTGATCTAAAAACTGCATTCAGGAACACAAAAATGCAAGCGATACGACTCAACACTTCCACCCTTTGGTCAACAGGGGGTGCCATCACAGCCTGTCGGTTATCAGGGAAAAATCTCTCCAGGAGGTGGCGCCGGTGGTCTGTCCATGTAGATATTGCACTTTAAAACAGCCGTCCTCTCATCCGAATCAGATAGTGCTTCCTTCTCCGTGAGTGCGTAAATCGACGTGTTTTCGTGCGTGTGCGTGTGGGACATTTTAGGCGCGCTTGGTTTCCTCCCTTTTCCCCCGGAAACGACTCCGACTCCGAAAACATCACGAGTGCACACTTTCCCCCCGCCCCCCCCCACTCTCCCTGTGTCTGCAGTGCATGCGGGTACTTTAACGAAATGAAACAAAAAAAAAAATGACACAAAGCTCTTTTTTCGAAACAGCACAGAGAACAACTTTGAGGAAAAAAAAAAAAAAACACACATACGGAACGCCAACGCCAACTTTTGATCTTTAAAAAAATATCGGCAGCTACGTGCTACATTGCTAACGCGGACTCTTTTTCGACAACGTGCAAAAACGCCTGTAAGGAGTCCACAAGCGAACGGCAGAGAGACTAAATCGTAAAAAATATGGGGTGTGTTCTAAGTGTTTAAATTTGTACCTGTTTGGCGTTGCTGGCAGGAATCTTGTATATGCAATTTCTATGTAAAGAATCGACGCAACAGATCGTTCGCTGGGAGGTTGCCATATCGAAACTGGAGTGACGTGAGTTTGTTTAGTGACGTGTGAGCTCACAAGTGTGTAATTTTGATTTTGATGTGTTCGTATTTCGGGTTTTTTTTTGCAGAAGACCCAAAAGCGGACATTTTTTGACCCGAATTCCAATTTTTCGACCCCCAACCCCGCAACCAACCAACCAACCAACCGCACCTGCTGTTTCGTGTACAAGGGCATTAAAAACGAATCGCAAGCCTAGCTAAAGAGGCGGAAAGATGCATGACGGAATCAAAGACTTTAGCGGACTTGGGGAAAATCTTAACGTTCGTTTGTAGGAGTTGGAGAGACACGTAGAGCAACCGGACCTATTTTTTTTTTCCTTTGGGACTTTTGGCTTTATCTGCGAATGTTTCAAAAAAAAAGTGTTATATTTTTGTGTATATTGATGCAAGAATCATTTTTGTCCATTTTGTTTGTTACGAGTCACTTTTGGAGGTAAAAATATTGACTACTTTGCCATATTACTTGTTGAAATCGGACTCGTATGGCGATCTATGTACAGAGTTAAATGCACACTACAGGTTGGGACAGAATTTCGGTGGAATTCGAGGGGGGAATTTTGAGATTTGATTTCAGAAACGCGACCCGATGCACTGTGAGCTCAATGTGACGTGGAAGTTGTTTGTGGAGAATAATAATAATGAGTAAATAATTATAAAATATATTTAATGTAAAGTTAGTTACTATAAAAAAATATTATGAGGACATCTGTATAACTTATATGAATGTATTGTCTTGCTATACCGGACATATCCAACCAATGCATTTTACTGTAAAGCAATAATGTGAAGAAAAAAATTAAAATGGCGAAATAATTCATGGATGTTTGTGTCACAAGTTTGTGGAAGTTGACATTTTTACACCCTTGTTAATGAACTTTTTAAAGGCGCTGTACCTGATTTTTACACTCTTAAAAACATCCGAAGTGGAGTCCGAAGTGGAGTCCGGAGTCCGGAGTCCAAAGTCGAGTCCAAAGTCGAGTCCAAAGTCGAGTCCGAAGTCGAGTCCAGAGTCTAGTCCGAAGTCCAGAGTTTAGTCCGAAGTCTAGTCCGAAGTCTAGTCCAAAGTCTAGTCCAAAGTCTAGTCCAAAGTCTAGTCCAAGTTTAGTCCGAAGTTTAGTCCAAGTTTAGTCCGAAGTTTAGTCCGAAGTTTAGTCCGAAGTTTAGTCCGAAGTTTAGTCCGAAGTTTAGTCCGAAGTTTAGTCCGAAGTTTAGTCCGAAGTTTAGTCCAACGTTTAGTCCGAAGTTTAGTCCAAAAGTCGTTTAGTCCAAAGTCGAGTCCAAAGTCGAGTCCAAAGTCGAGTCCAAAGTCGAGTCCAGAGTTTAGTCCAGTTTAGTCCAGAGTTTAGTCCAGAGTTTAGTCCAGAGTTTAGTCCAGAGTTTAGTCCAGAGTTTAGTCCAGAGTTTAGTCCAGAGTTTAGTCCAGAGTTTAGTCCAGAGTTTACTCCAGAGTTATCGCGGTCACAACTTTCAAAGACCACAGCGGAGTTTTGCCGTGAGTGTAACGAGCAAACTAGCATGCTAACAGCGCACTTTCTGGTTGATGAAGGATAAAACGCTTTATAATTAGATGAAGATAACGCATGGCAGTCTCGGGTCTACCACGAACGCTGTTTTTACAAATTTTCACTACAAAAAAACTAAATCTAATCAAGTGACGACTTGAATTAAGAATTTTTATCATGATTTGAATAAATTTCATTATCTGCGACTAGACTCTTTGTACTTAAAATATGAAAATACATCTTTCTACATTTAAAATAAGAAAAACAATAAAATCAAATGTTGAAGATGCAAAAAACCCCAAGGCACTCACTTGTTAAATGAAATAAAATGCCTGTATTAATTTTCGGCATGTCTTAATGGACAACTTACAAAGTCTCGATGCGTTTCAGACCTGAAAAATAAAGACATTTTATTTTAAACAGTGAGTGCCTTGGGTTTTTTTGCATCTTTAAATTGAAATCCCTTCCCAAAGAGCACCACTGAGTTCTATCTACAGTGTATTATCCTCTGGAAGTCCAGGAACCGCTCCATTTGAAACTTTTTACTTTTTTTTTTTTTTTAAGTCGAATGTTGCTTGAATAAAAAAAAAACACACTTATTCCATTGGTAGATAATTATTTTGTCAAGTTGAATCTACTCAAATAAAGTTAAATGTTCTTAATTTAAGTCATTTTAACTTACCTAGATAATTGTTTTTTCCAATGTTGCACAGCTGCCTGGACAAAAATCAGGTACAGCCACTTCAGCATGTATTTCATTGACCAAGACTGACTGATACATTCAGACTGCACGACTTAAAGCTCAATTCGGATTTTTTTGTGAAATCTGATTTTTGTGCAAGGTCGTTCACATTTCCAATTAAATGTGGCTTGTATGTGATCTCCAGTGTGAACTTTAAACGCCCCAAAAGTGTCCCGCATGAGCACTGGACGACACGACGACGTCACACACAGCGAGCGTGCTGTGTTTACGGAAGATGCCTAAACATGAGCACATGAAGATTTTAAAGTTGCTGTCGTACCGGAGCCAGAACATGTACAGCTTATTTGTTTTAAGGAGGAGACTGAGAAGGAGAAGGACGAGGTTTTTGGCCGTGGCGTTTTGTGGGACAGCGGCAGCGACGTCCGTTGAAAGGAACGTGTTGGTGCAGAGTCGCAGCCAAGAGCGGTGGGATTGCGATGTGTTTCACTGCTTCACTCAAACGGAGTTCAGACACAATTTTTGTATGACGAGAAGAATGTTTGTGTACATTTGTGACGTGTAGGTGGGATGAACGTGACCTGGCCGTTCAGACTGAAGTCGCATGTCAAAAGATCGGATATGTATCGGTTTTAAGAGCACATATCCAAGTGGTCTGGGTCGCATTTGAAAAAATCAGATCTGTGTCGTTCAGACTGTCATTAAAAGATCAGATACAGGTCGAATAAGGGGTGAAAAAATTGGATTTGGGTCACTTCAGGCTGCAGTTTAAACATAGTTTTACATGCATTGGGCCCCATTTAACAATTCAGTACAAAATATTATCTTCAGCATGATCAAAAAAATAGTACCTCTATGAAATTTCAAATTTGTGATTCTGCTTAAAGTTACATTTCTTCTTAGGAGTATCACTAACACAAAACATTTAGATCACCGTGTTACCTCTTGTTTTGAAAATGCTCTGTTCACCAAAACAGTGTATTCATGTTTTATAGGTTTTACTTCCCGTTTCTCCTTTCCTCTCTCTCTGCTAGGTCACTCCCCCTTCAGATCACTATCACAACACAATCTGCGCTAATAAAACTACTGCACATCGCATCAGGTTTGTGAAGCTGTAGTGCAGGGGTGTCAAACTCATTTTGGTCCCGGGGCCGTATCCAACCTACTTGGATCCCAAAGGGGCCGGATCAGAAAACTCATGGCACATAAACCCCAAAAATAACAATAAGTTCAAATATTTGTGCAGAGGAACGCAAATCTATTACAGAAATCTTTTTTAATTGATGAACTCTTTCTTATTATAATATTATAATATTATGAACAACCTGAAACTTTAAGAAAAATTCAATTTCAACATTTAAAATATATTTTTGTAGAAAATCACCCAAGGGCCACATTAAAGGTCTTGGAGGGCCGGATCTGGCCCCCGGGCCTTATGTTTGACACCTGTGCTGTAGTGTATTCTTTTTTTTTTTAATCATGTTTTTGTATATTTATGGAGAATTGTCGTCTAGGAGCATGGGTGGTTTTTGAAACGTGTCTGAATAGGGCCCGGGAGAGATCTCTAGATGACTCAAACATGCATGGATGGCGTCTAAAACCTCTTCAGGCGTGTTTTTTGATGAAGGAGCAGCGTTATAACATGGCAAAAAGCTCAAATAAAAGGATCGAGCAGTGTGCATAATCTCCTTTTTTTTTTTACTTACAGCTCTCAAATTTACTACAGAATTTAGTGCACTTGAGAAAAGTGGCTGTGATTTTTATTAATAACGCACTTGAAACTGAAGTGAAGTGTCTTACCCAAGGACTATGTAGAGATATATAGTGCAGACAGATGGAGTTAAATGTGGTTAAATGTTAAATGTAGATGTGACCATAGAAGTGGTTAATTAATTGAGCTCGATTTGGAAAAACAACTAAACATATAACCTGACAACAAAATCCAATTAAGTAAATACATTCGTCTCTAATTAAATGCTAATCTAGATTCACATTCGGAACCTGCATTTTATTTTAATCCAAATTAATTGGATTACACATTTGAATCTTCTTCTTTTCTCAATATTTTGTCATTTGTATTCCAGTTGGGACACACTATCCTACTGTGAGTCAGTCTTTTTCAGTCTGATTCTTAATTTTTTCATTCTCTTTTCACCAAAATCCACTGTTTTTTTTTTCCACAATATGCAGTCGTATCAGCAACACCAACTGGCTCTCCAATTTACACCAAGCAGTATTTTTAAAGGGTTAAAGGGAATGTTGTTTCTTCATCACAAACAGACCTGGAGTTGTGTTTTGTTTCATTCACACATGTTTAACACACAAACCTGTGGTAATACAGGAAGTGCTCCACTGTTTTAATACTGTTTTTAAACTCCATACACCTTCACTAGAATCATTTGGATAATTTCAGCCCTGGAATTGTCTGTCACTAAGCCTGATTCATCAGCTGGTTTCACGTCGTGGAAACCGTCTGACCCCGCAGCATTAGGATTCGTTTGCTCGACAGTTGGCGGGTACTTTTTTATTTAACCAGTCGCTGCTATTTGGTCGTGACGTATGCCGTGCGTCGCTAACAGAACTAACTGGTATATTAAGGTTTTCTCAAATTCTGCAGGAAGAAGGGCAATAATGTCTTTCCCCTTGATAAAAGTCACCAAACATTCTCTTTGTTACCGCTTTAAATATCGACCGCTTTGTTTACTGTTGTGCTGAACCACAAAAGGGACCCAGACAGGCGCTGGAGTTTGACGTCATGCCTTCACAGCTCTTCACTGATTGGCCGGTGCATGGTCGGTCTACAACTTCCAGGGTTCTTGCAAACCGTCTATTGTATTGTGATTCTTAACCTAATCACTGGAGAGAAATGAAATTGAGGCACTAGATGTCACTAGTCAGTGGCAGAATTTAACAAAGTAAAAGTAGTAACGTACTGTACTTAAGTATACACATTTTAGATATTTGTACTTTACTTCAAATCAAAATCAAATCCAATTTATTTGTAAAGCACATTTAAAACAGCCAAAGCTTACCAAAGCGCTGAACAACATTTACAGTGAAATAAAACATACAATAAATAAATCAAGGATGATAATAATAATAATAATAATAATAATAATAATAATACATTTATTAATTAATAAAAATAATACACAAATACATAAAATAATTAATTAAACATTAATTAATTAAAAAATAATACAATAAAAAATAAATAAATAATAAATAAGTAATAATGAACAGAAAGCTGCCAAGGTGTCTCTTCCTAACTCTCCTTGGCATTTTTCCAGTCTCTTTAAGCAGATTTTAATGTGGATACTTTTTATTTCTGCTTTACTGCAGCCGAGAGCAGGTATCTGTACTTTCTACTCCACTATATGTTTAAACTGAAAAGTAAAAGTATTTTTATAGCTTGAGCAAAAATATACAAATGGAACAGCAAGGAAAAAAAGTGAGCAGGGTTTATTTGCCATATATCTGACTTGGTCTTGTTCAATCTCCATGTAGATAGATTTTTTTATTTATTTTTTTTTTTTTAATGACTATTATTTATTTGAGCAAGGTAAAACAAAATCAACAACACTAACAAAAACAAAAC